TTAACCAAAAATTAAAAGAAAAAATACGGGTATCATACCACTCGTATGTTGTTCTATTTTTTGGTTTTGCTACCACATTTTAATTGTTTATTTTAGTTCCAACTCATGTGAGTCAAGTTTAGCTTCAACATATTGAATACATAAGAACTTTGGGTTATACAATAAAAGATAATCTTCTGATCAAATTATGAGATAAATCTCAATGATACAAATGCAAATATTTATTTCGAGTTTGAACTATACAATAAAAAATAATCTTCGGGCTATGAAATGCCATTTTGTTTGCAAATTTTGTAGCCCTTTATTCATGGATGGATGTGGTTTGATTTCTCCAGCTGATTCTTGAGCAGAGGGCCTCTTGTTGCTGGTCAAAGAAGGGTGGGAATAAGGACAATGGGTTTTCAACAAATAATGCAACTATCATGTGCAATTACATGGAAAACCCATGTACTTTACTAGTCTGGCATGTGTTGATGACTAACTGACTGTCTTATTTATTCTTCCTTCAAATTTCGATCATTTCATCCACGTGCTACCCCTTCAAGGTTGTGTTTTTTTTTTTATATAGGTTTCTAGCAAGTACAAATAATTTTAGATTTGAACTATCACAATATTATTACTGTTAATAATTTTATGATTAAAGTTTGAATTCGATTTTTTTTATATTTTAAATTTTTTATTATATATAATTATTACAAAATTATTTTAAAAAATGATGGAATCAAATCGAATTGAATTTTTTAACAATATATAACCTAACTTTAAATGTTATTATTCATTCGTATTCATGGTTACATATTTGACAGTAAATTAACTGTGTTTTCGAATGTACAAAATTGTACACCTCACGTGCTCTAACACATGAAACAATGGAAGCTATTATGAACCAAGTATTGCAATTTGCCAATTTCCCAACTTCTGTCAGAAATATCCAAATGCAGCATGATTGACATGGATCGATATACAATTATTCGGCAACTGAAAGAATGGGATTCACCAACAGAGCTTAATTTCCATTGTTTCCTTACTATAATCAAAGCTTTATAATTCATAAACATACAAAATTACGAGTAGAACTGCAATTAACATGGGGTCATTCAATCGAAAGACCTCATGGGGGACAACTTGAAGGGGGGAAGGGGTTCAACTTCATTAACAACTTTGATTTTTAATAAAATTCTTGGCATTTATGATTTGAACTTGAAAAGACAATTCAAATATATCATATTTTTATCTGACAAAGTTTAAAAGTTTAAGAGTAAGGAGATTACCACATTTTTAAGGTCGAGATAAATTGTCAACCTACAAGAAAATTTACATATCTCTTTTTTATGAAAATTTTTAGACTTATAAATCACCTACCAACAAAAGACCGTGAGAGTTTGAATTTGGATACTTTGCATCTAGATCTTAAATCTTAACCACTTGCGCCAACTTCTAATGGGGAAATGTCACTTTACTGCATAGACAATAGGAATATATATCACTTAACCTTGTTTCCTATAAAGTTCTCCCCCTTATCTATTGGTGATTCATTGAATTGCATAAAGCATTTACATTGCTGGCTTGGTCAAGAAGAGGGGAAGCAAAATTGACAGATGTGTTACATTTTGAGTACGGCTACAAGGGGAAGAGGGGTCCTGTTCCATTTGGGTAGCAAACCATGTGACAAATTATACTAAGTATCTTCTTTTCAGTAAAAGCTAGCTAAGTTCATAGAAAAGTGAGTCAGAGACTAGAATCCGAACAATCAATTTTATATTTCTCTGTAAACTCTGAAACCCAACCCCCTCTCTCACATTCAAGTGGATGGTGCAAACTGCCATGTGATCTTTGTTGAAAAGAATGTAAAGTGGATTTTCATCAGCTTTATATTGATCTGCTATTAAATTCAAATTTCGTCCATCTTCCATCCATATAAACAAAATGAGAACATCTTTACCAATTTGTTTCAGAAGTCAAAAGTATTGAAGACTTGTTGTAGAATCCCTGAGAGATGGATCCCTTTTTCTTCCATAGAATAAAATTGGTGAGAGAATTCAATCACAATGGTCTTCTAGGAATGTCCCCTCACTTCCCTTGAATCAAAATCAGGGTCCAGTGTTAATGCAAAGGACAAATCTAGCTAAAAAAAAAAGACTAACAATAGCACTTTGTGAAAAGACAATTACATGTGAGAGATGGTGGGGTTTTGGCATTTGATAAGTATTTCAAGGATGGGGGATTTACCAAGTTTGGGTACATTCTGTTTTGCATGTGAATGATAGATACAAAGTTTCCACAAGTATCCAGATTATGACGAGTCGGTGAAGGGCTTTGGAATCTCCCAATCTCGTTATTTGTAGTTCTCAATTGATCTACGGAAACAAAGTCAAGACAAGATAAACCCTGCAGATGATCAGGTTTGATGGGCTGGGCTACAGATTATATTATCTATACTAACATGTTTGGACCAGAGCTTGGATACTCACAGACATCAGACAATCCTAATGAAAATCATAACCAGGCATAGGCTGTACCTCGAGTTTGTATCTTCTCCATAGAAGTTACACAGTAATTACAATTAGGTCTTTCAATTTCTTCAAAATGTTTGTATGGTAATCTTGCAGATACTTTTCCCGTGTAACTATATCTTTGGAATCGATACCAAGGAGACTGTAAGTCTGTGTCATTGGAGCCGAGAAAACGGTGTGGCTTGTAAGAACCTGCAATGTGCAAGACCTTAGTACTTGACAAACGCTCTAGAGGAAGATGGAACTATCAAATGCCAGCATACTGCTTCATGGAGCGTGATTGAAATGAGTAGAAGAGAAAATAACAACTTATTAACTCTGAAAATGCCAATCTATCAGCAACATCATTTGTCCACTCAAAAAATCGAGTCATCTGGCAAGTAAATCTTAAGATGGAAACTGGAACTGTAGTAACATTTGCATCTTGCCCAGCAAGCCTCTCACATAATGTTATCACCTAAAATAAAGAAATTTAACACAGAATAAAACAATGGCTTTTATCCAAGAGTTCTAAGTCAGCACTTAAAAACAGCTGTTCTCAAGTTCCTGTAGGAATGCTAACATGTTAACATAAGAAGTCAAAATGATCTCAAGAGATTAATGATAAGAAAGCTAAAACATTACACTATCTTCCAAATTATTCACCAGAAATAGTCCCAGAGTGTGAAAGAGCAGCAATAGAATATCGGTCATCAACAAGGGTGAAGGATTCTTATATACCTCTTGGTTTGTAAAAGCACGAGGACCAGCAAATGTGAGAAGCTTGCCATTAATATTGTCATTGCATAAAGCTATAAATGTCAATCGAGCTATATCCTAAGACCAAAAGAAAACACAATTAAATACCAAAATCCCTTGATCAATAACAAGTATTCTGCCACATACATGAAACCAATTTGCAAAACAATTTGTGCATGTTTAACCTGAGCGTCCATGTAAGCAATTCACGTTGGAGCATCTGCCCCCACACAGACTTCTCTTCCAGTATAGGTACTGCATATTGCCCAATAAGCCCCTGACAAATTGGCAACAAGCATTTATAAAAATACAGCTTTGATACAAGCAAGAAACATGGTGCAAACACGTACATTAATGCAATTATACTGGTTCTTCAGGAATCATGTTTTCATTTATATTGATTTTAAAGCATAGAAACTTTTCTTGTATGATTTTACAGTCATATATAACTTTTACAGAGTCAAGATGAATTACAGGCAAAAGACAACGAATAAGAAAAACAGTAAACAGTAAACACTGAGTTTTAGATGACATTTACTTGCATGAAACCGCATAACCTGATTGTCATGTGGGGCAAGCCAGAGTCCTGAAGAAACTTCTCAGTGCAATACTTGATCTCCATTAGTGGAACTTCAGGATGCTTATCACAATTGTGAATAGAATAGAACACATTTCTGAATCACCATTGTTTTTGCACATTGTATAAAAGCAACTTTTCCTTCCCAATCTACCTAAATAGAACACATAGATTAGATAATTTGAACACAGCCAAAAAACAAAAAAAAGGGGCAAAAGTTCACCATTATTATTCAATCATACCGTCTTGATTTGCTCTTCTGGATGACCCGTGGCACAATCGATAACTGTATGGATACCAACCAATGTTGCAGGTATTGTCTCTGGTTTACTAAGTTCTGCCTGCTCAAAAATGAATATTATGCACTAATGGGTAAATTTTAAAAAGCTTAAACCCGTAAATTTAGGTAAATTATAAGATTTACGTTGATAATTGCGGCCCAGTCACGGAGGAAGTCGGCAGGTGCGGGTCTTGGCCTGACAAGGCACCTTAAATCGTACCCTTCATCGAGTGCGCGTCTCACGATTTGTCTTCCCTAGAGTTCCCGTGGCACGAACTACTAGTATGCTTGTCGGTCTGACGGGAGTCCCTGGAGCCAAATTCACTGCCTGAGCACTTCCACTAGCACTGCATGTTATATTTGTTGCACGTACGATTCCTCTACTGGGGAGAAAATTCAGATGGCAAATTGTTTAAAGCAAAGTAAAAAGAATTGGGTGCTTACTGGTGGTGTGAGAGGTGTAGGAGGGGAGAAGAGTGTCCGGTGATAGTGTCCCCGCCATGACAGCGAGGTGGTGGTCGCGGGTTTGGTCTGGTTGAGGTGGTGGAAGGTGCCACGTGCAGCTAGCTGAGTGGGAAGTCTCAACGCCATTGCTGCTTTGGCGTTTTTTTTTTTTTCCTCTTTCTGTTTCGTTAGCAGGCGGAGAGCGAGAGAAGGAAAACAAAGTGTGTGAATCTTGTCACGTCGTTCATTGAAATGGATTACGCTTTATGCCACGTATACTTTCCGGTTCTGGTTGTCGTGCGGCTAGCTGGCTCGTGGCTGTCCAGCTCGTGCCAAGCCAACATACTAGCCGTTTCAGCAAACGTCTTTAATAAGAAAAATACAATCGAGGAAAAAGCGTTCACTGGCTAATGGCTATATCCAGCATAAATAAAAACTAAAAATAATATTTAAGAAAATGAAAATGTCTGTCAAAAATATACAAGAAAGGCTATCGAACATTATTTCTATTCCATCAAATTTTTGCTTTACTTTGATATCTTTCTCTCAGTATAAGCATTTGAGACAAGTTATTTTCCTTTCTTTTTTTCCTTTGAAATGGGGAAAAGATAATGTAAAAACGGGAAGCTTCAACTGCTCAAGTGTCTAATTCTGTGCCAACATTTACAGAAACTCGAAGCCACCAACCTCAATTTTCCTTCACCGAACGCCTTTTATGTACAGAGTTCCAAAGAATTTTGAGGAAAAAATTCATCAGGGATTGCTAACTTACTTCATTTTAGTCTGAAAAGAATTCTTCCACTTCAGGTTGTTCTTGTTTGGTTAACACATTGCTGTCCAGAATAGGCAACTCCTTAAATCCACCTGCGTTATCTAAATAATCAATATCTGTCCAATCTGGATCCTCCTCAATGAACTGTTGTTCATCGCTCATTTCAACAGCATCCTTCCGGTTGTTATCATTTTCATGGTCCTCTGGAGTTTGATTTTGAATAGTTTCAAATCCCTTAGCCTGACATATGCAGCTATCAGGGTTTTCGTGAAACTCACCCCTGCCAGGTTTCATCTCCTTTGGCTCTCCCATGAAGCCAATCTGATAAGTTCGAACCTTAGAGGCAAATTCTTCCCATGTCATGTTATTTCGGTCCAAGAACAATTTGTACAGTTTCTTAGCGTTAGGTCGAATTGTTGGCTTGTGCCCAAAGTATCTCCTGCAATAGACAAATATATTTAGAAAACAGGCAGCAAATAAAGTGCGTTGTCAATGTGATTTACATGCAAAAGTGGCTATAAGCAAGCTCAATGCAAGGCAAAAATGTTGCATACCTTCGACCAGCTAACATTCTAGCCATGTTTCCATTATTGTTTGTGACAAAAACATCACTTTCATCACAAACAATGTAATCCAATGCAGCCATTCGACCAGAAAAAGGTGAAAATGCTGCCAACTCTTCCCTAGTGGCTACAGTCTCTTTTGAATGGAAATTAGGGAAGAGTGCTTTGAGCGGGGCCAATGTCTCTTCAGCTCCGTACACTTCACCTGAAGCCACATAAACGTGAACATCACTTCCAAACCCCATTGCTCTCAACATTAGACCAATTTCTTCTGGAGTCAGGGGGCATCTTCCATGCCTTCTCACCTTGTCAGGATTGCTTGCCTGCAGTTTACACCAACATAAACATGTTTTAATGCTTCAGAAGCTATAAAGGACTAAAGATGCATCTTTAACAACTCGCATGGACTTACATGTAAAGTTTTCCACCTCTTCCGGATTGCACCAAGTTCCGACCTTTCTTTTTCTCCTCCACCATAATAACATCCAGAAAATGCGAGCATATCAGGTTCAAACCTATGGAAAATGATATATCAATCTGCATTAATAAAGTCTTTCATTTTGTACAATAAAGATGTTAAGACAAACTAAATTGAACATCCAATAAAGGCATAAACACCATAAGAAAACAGGCATTGTAACAGCCAATTTCATCAATTATTGGCATTTAAAAAAAAAAACTGCAATATAAAATAATAATATGATTAACAACAGAGTGCTATTTACCTCAAATGCAAGGCAATAAAATGCTTGGCTTTTATCCTCATCCTTTCAACCAAGAGTTTACCCATTTCAAGAATGGTATCTGTGAACCTTAGAGCATGGTAGTTCACCCTACATCTGAGCTTTTGTAAATCTGTTTCCAATCTATTTGAAAGCCTGTAATCAAACTTTGTAAGCTCAACAGCCTGCAACATGAAAAGGAAGGTGAAAATTTTGTCAGTTTTCTAATCATATGCTTGTTTCAAGCCAAAGAAAACAATCAAGAGATAGACCATAACTGTTATTTTAATAAGACATGAAAAGGAGGATTAAGGATCATCTTTCTTGGTAAATGAGAACAAGTTCAACATCAACATTATTTGAAAGTAAAATCTCCAAAGTATATGACATTAATACTGCAGAACATAAAATTAACGCAATCATTATGCCTACAAAACTTGATATGACTAGCGCCCAAGGCTAGTGATGCCTTCTAAACCAATAACTTGCCTTTCCATATACTAATAATTAAGGTTTCCTAACTCTATGCCTATGCAAATATATCTGGTTCCATTTCCATTCTCTGCTCACGGTTCGCCTTGCTGAAGTATTGGTTGCTGACTCAATTTCCTGTCTCCATATTTTTAACTCATAACATAGTTTACCAACTAATTCACAAAGCTGCATCAAATGATTTTTTTCATTTGTGTGCCTGAATAATTAATTTGACTTCATATGGTGTAAATGATCACTTCCTACGATATTAGAATTTGACCTAGGCACTAGACTTCCAGTCACACCAGCATCTCTACTGGTAATGATTCATGGGAAATTTGATAGGCTGGCCTAGTGGTAACTTCTTAAACTATACTACAGAGTACACTACAAAGCTACATTGGCAGAATGAAAAAATTAGATCCAGTTAAAGAGCAGATTTAATTATGTTCTGTTTTTGTGCCAAAACATATATAAGTACATAAAACAAAATTTAGCACATGAAATGTGTGGCGGCTAATTTAGAGCTATTACTTACATGCTTTTTATTTAGAACAGGTAGAACACGAGTCTCATAGCAATTTGTATCGCACTTCCTTGGAACACGCATGCCATGTGGAATCCAAGCTTTACCTCCCTTTGGTGGTAGCTCTTTGATGATTTCAACATCTCTCGAGAGAGATGAAATGAACCAGCCAACATTGAATATTTCAGCAAAAACACTGCATCAAATACCCCATCACATATATATATATATGCACAGAATAAACCATTCCCCTGCGTTTACATTAAACACGAATATAACAACAGACCTGCTATCTTTCCAGTAAGAGTGCTGATCCAGCCTGGGAATGATCAGAGTTGCATTTAAAATATATGCTGCAACAACTGCGTCTACTATCTGTACCCATAACGGTCACAAAATTATCAGCACAAAAAATATAAACTTACTACTTTTGCACTGTATCCTTATATGACCATAAGCCCCCAAAACATCAACATTAGCTCTCAATTCCAATATGCATAAGCAGCTTCCTAAATTTTATTTTTCATTAAACTTACCCCTGTTCTCTGTTGATTTAACCCTCCACTGGTAGCGATTAACAAGTATCGGTTGGTATGTGTTTTCACATCAGCAGCTAAAACATAGACAACACACCTAACCATTAATTTGGTAGCTTAAATTTAAAGCCAATTACAAATAGTAAAAGAAATACATATCAAAATCATTGAATAGTAAAAACAGTAAAACGAGGATTCAAATTGGAATACTTTGAAACTTCTTGGAGGCGTTACTGCATCCATAGTAGAACTTTGATTGGTTTGAACTCCATAAATCACGACCCAAATTTCCTCCACTTGACTAAGAAACACAAAATCAATCAATCAAAACTCATTTTAAGATCCAAACAAGTCATCAAACTCAAAACAAGAATTAACATTAAGCTCTTACAGACCGGAACTTGAAACACTGTATCAAAATTGGACTCCACAGCCTCTCTTTCCTTCACCACCTAAACGAAAGAACAACACACAAAGAATAAAACGCATGAAAATCGGGGAATATTATTTATTTCGAAGTTCGAGAAATAAAACAAGCACATGAAAACCACACGAATAATGTGACGCTTACGGTGGAGTGGTGAGCAAGGAAGTGGTTGGTGGCGTTGGGAGGAGGAGTGAAGATGGAGAAGGCGAAGAGCAAGAAGAGCAAGCAACCAGAGACGGCGGAGATGAAGGAGAAGACACGGTGGCGTTTGCGCCAGAGAATGAGGTTAAGCCCTATACAAAAGTCATTGGAGCCGCGAAGAATGATATTGTTACGTTCTCTCTGCTTTCTCCTCATTTCCAGAGAAAATAAAAGCTGTTTCAGATTCTTCAGCATCATAATATTTTTTCCTGTAATGTTTTTAAGCATCAAATTTCTTTCTCTTTATGGTTGTTACAAAAGAATCCACAATTCGGAGGTTTCAGACAAAAAATTCAAAAAAAAAAAAAGGATTATTTTTTTTTTTTGGTTTTTAAAAAATATGGATTTTTTTTTTCTTTTGCCTTGGCAGCAGAAGCAATGGCGCGTAACCTTAGTAGGATTGTTTAGGCGTGAGTACTCGGACGGGAGCAGAAACCATATAAGGGTTACGTTCGCGTGTGAACCGTTATTTGTAAGATGATGAAGATCTGATTCGTTGGAGCTTTTTTGTTTAAAAACGAAGGTGTAACCTCTTCAAATAAAAAAAAAAAAAGGTGGTTTAAAATATACGGCTGTTTTTATCAATAATTATTTTCACTCTGACAATTTAAATTTATAATATTGTTAATAAAATCTAATCTTTTATATTCGAATATTTGAATTAGTGATAGGTGCATGTATTTTTATTTTTAAAAAATTAAATTTTAAATAAAATATAATTATCTATATTCAAATATTTGAATTAGTGAAGTGATTATATCTATATTTTTAAAATTTGAATTTGAATTTTTTTTCACTAATAAAAAATTATTATTTTGGTTAAAATTTTTACTCTTTGACAATAATAATTAAATTTTACTATTATATACATAACCTTTAAAATCAATAATTTTAATTAATAAAAAAAATTTATTATCATAAAATATGTATTTTTTAAATAATTAATAAAAAATATTTTTATCATGTTATCACGTTGTTTTAAAATTAGATTTTTAAATGATATGATATCAATCATTCAAATAAAACGATAATTAATGGTACACTAAGTTAAAATTTTTAGGAGTTATCGTTAATTTTAAATTTTGAAATAAGAACAACTCGCGCTATTGTTTTGCTAATTTTGTGGAACAAGAAAAATGTACAGTATGAGTGTTTACACACGAAGAGTTCCTTTTTTTTTTTATATGCTGAATTTCTTTCCAGCAAAAATCCTTGTTGCGCTGCGAGTCTGTGCTCTCCCTCTTCTCGTGCCCGGCACGTGTTTATGCGACATTCTGTTTCTGTAAACTGACAGGAAATGATAACGCCAACGGCAACGCAAAGCGCGTGTTATAATTTGGTCAGCGTCCTAGAGATTGACTCGTCCATACACTTGCTTTTGACGCGCGTGGTCGGAAAAACTTCGATTTGCTCTAAAAACATTGTCGTTTTGAGTTCCTTGATTGTAACGTTTCCGACGTGAATTAAGCGTGTGCTTTGTCTTGGAGTGGTGGAATCGTGGTAGAATCCGAGGGCTTGTTGTCGTTAAACGAACTTTTAAGCAATAATCATCTCACTAATTGACGGTTTAATTGTCGTATGATATCCCCTAAAAAAGTTCTGTCAGAAGAAGCCAACAATAATTAACCTTTTTTATTAAAATAAAACATTCATTCTCTTAAGCCGATTGTGCTTATTATTTCATTCGATCGATTTTGAATTAAATTAAATTATAAATTGTTTTATTTTTATTAATTAAATTAAATTTTTTATTTCAAAAATTAATTGATTAAAATTGATTTAATTAATTTTTTAATTAATTAAATAATAAAAATATATTTAATTAAAATAATTTTTTATATTTTATATTTAAAATAAATTAAATAAAATTATCCAACAAAAATATCTAGATATCAAATATTAAATTAAAAACTTTAAAAACTTAAAATAAAATTAATAATTTCATATATTTTTAATTATATATATTATTATAATTCTGTTAATTCTTTTAATTCGATTTTTAAATTGAATTAATCAAAAATCAAAATTTAACTAAAATTATTTTTGATAATTGATCAAAATTAATTTAATAACTGATCGATTAACTAAATTAAATTAATTTACTTGATTAATTCGATTAAAATCAAATTTTAAGTACCCTTAGCATTCATATAATAATTTTATATCTTATCTAATTCAACAATGAAGAGAAAAAAAGAAAAAATTCCAAATCGAAAAGATTGTTGAATCCGATTTTTTTACTAGCTACGGTTCAATTTTTATGAAAAAATTTACGAAAATAAAATTTTATATGTATTCAATAATATTGAAAAATATATTTTAAAAATCAATCTGATCTTAGAATACTCTTATTGTATTAAAAAATAAAATGGATCAAAGTCAAAACTAACGAACCAAATAACACTATTGCAAACAATAATATGTTTTTTTTTCTTAAATTTATGTTAATTAGATGATAATTAGGATGGTTAGTTAGATGTAACAAAATTATTGTCAAGCACCTAACACTTAGCTAAAAATATTGGGTAGTTCAACTTGCATCTGAAGATGATTTAGATGAGAAATTGTCCAAAAGGGTTACATCAATTTATATTAATCTTGGAAAATGATAGATGGCTGAAGCTCATTAAGGAAATGCATCTTTACAATAACATTTTTGTGCAACTAGCTAAACAAAATCTATTAATGATGGTATATTTGGAAAGTTATCTTTAAGAAATGTTAATCTGGTTAAGGAGGCAACAAAGTATATTAGCAAATTCACATATATGCATTGTGTTTATTTTGTGTCAAATACGTATAAAATATAAAATTTATCATATCAAATTTAGGTTAATATATCAAATACGAAATATATTTTTTATTTTTATCAAAACCATATATTATTTTTACTAAAATTTTTAAATCGTTTTTATTTTTGTATTTTTTTCAAACTATTTTCGTATCGTATTTAAAATTATCAAATCTGTAAATAAGCAATAATTATGAAAAGAGCTACTTTGGCCTTTGATGGGATTTAGCCAAATTGACAGTAGGGGTGAGAAAAATTTTGAGAAAACCAAAAACCAATTCGAAATCATTGTATTTGATTTAGTTTATATTGATTTTTTTATTTAATTTAATTTATATATTAAATGTATATATTAAGTTTTGATTGGTTCGAGACGTGAAAAATAAAAAAAAATTAACTAAAATGAATTATATATTTTTAAAATTTTTATAAAATAGAATAATTATTTTATATAAAAATCTATTTAAATATATTAAAATAATATATAAAAATTAAAAAATTTTAAAAATAGATGAATCGAATAAGTAAAATTTAATTTAATCGAATCAATTTCAAAAGAATATTGATTTGGATTTAAATCAAATTTTAAAAATTTATATTCCTAAATATTATCTAAAAAAACTAAATTAAATCTAACCTAAATTGTTATCGCCTTTATTGACAAGAAGCCCCACGAACTTTTATAAAAGATTAATTTGGTTCTAAATTTGGTGCAATTTGCTTTGTCGTGGGACCGATGAGAGATTTCTCTTGGTATATTTTTTATGGCATGTTGAAGTACTATGCAGTGAGACCGACGTTATTAAGCATGGCTTTTCTATATGATAATTTGATAATAACCAAAATTGAAGTTTGCCTTGCAATTTAGGCAAGCACGGTTTATCCATGCTTGCTTGAATTGCCAATAATTGTGTGGTGGTTACTTGATGGTGACAAAGCTTTCACCAAATATATCGTGAAAGTCTCACATTTTTTCTTTATTTTAAAGAAGAGCTTGCTTAATCATGATAATATAACAGAAAAAATGTTGGCGTGAAACTTACTTTTTATAAAAAAAATACGTAAAAGATTTGATTCAATCTGATAAGATCCTAAAAATAAAAATATTTTTAAGACTTAAGTCTTATAGCTTTTGTTTTTATAATTTAAATACTTTTATCCTAAACTAAAAATTTAAATGTTGAAATAACTTTTTTTTTTTAGATTTTTATGACAAAATAAAAATAAAATAACCAATTCCTTATATTTGTCCCCATATTCTAAAAGTTTATATTTTAGATTCGAAATTTAAATGTTGAAAATTTTATTTAAATTTTATTTAAAATTTTTAATTTATCTTTAAATCTCTTATCTTATTATATGTCTGGTTAAAGAAGATATTACGTATTTAAATTTTTTTAAATTCGTAATTTTTAAATATTAACTTCAATGGCATACAATTAATTTAATAAATTATCAACTAGATTTTTTTTCTTTTAAACAAAAAGAAAAGTAAAATAATATTCTCAAATACAAACACCAATCCCAAATCTAAATCATCTTATCATAGTTTTTTTTTTTTTTTTTAAAATGAAGTTTCGTTTTTTTTTTTTTCACAACAAATTATATGTGTGTGTGTGTGTCTATATAAACGTGTGCACGTTTTGCGAAAGGCTTCTTGCCATCTTCACCCAAAAAATAAGCAAAGTATGAGCAGAAGATGCCAATTGCCACCATTGGTCAAACCATTTATCCAACATTAATAATGAATTAATATGATCAAAACAAAGATGGAAAAGGTATATGTCAACTTAGATGCTTGTTTTTAATCATCCAAACCAAATCATTTTATGTATATTTATATATACTCTAAACTATATAGTTAAGTTAGGCTTTTCATTTTAAAAATTAAAAAAATATTAGTGTGTATATATTTATATATAAACACACACAAATTAGTTTAGTTGATAAAAAAAGAAAGAAACCTTACTTTTTTTTTTTCATTAATTAGAGTCGATTTTTGTAAAGAGTATTTGAAAGTAAAATTTTTAATGCATCAAATCGATATAAAAATGGAAAATAATGCATTTGAAAAAAAACTAAATTCAGCTAAAATATGACGATATTCTTAATCATTATATCATATATATATATATATATATATATGTGGAAGATGCTCTAAATATTTTATTTGCATTCAACCAACCAACAACCTAATGATTCAACCAAGCCTTGGGGTCCATTGGTTCACCAGTTGATGCTTCTTAAGAAAAAAAAATCCAAATTTAGGATATTGACAAACCAAACTAATGGTCCTTAAGAATTTAGTAGAGCCTTAAGATTAATCCAAGAAGTATTTTTTTACCAAGTTAATATTGGTTAAAATAATATGAAATTCAAATTTTAACACAAATTTTTTTTTAAAATTATTGTTTTCGTAAAAAATAGTTTATT